TTGTTTAGATCATAATGATTTAATTAAATTGTCATAATTAATAAGTATTTGTAATTTATAAAGCTGCTCGATACTTAAATATCAAGGCAGCTTTTGTCTTGAATCATTATGAGATTAAACATGTGATATGGCCAATTATGTTCAGTCTAATGATCAATCAGTTGATCAGTAAATATGAAAATAATTCTTACAAATATATTCAAAATGAGGTAATGGGAAAGTCTAAGAATTGGTTATGAGGTATGAATTAGTGTTCTGGTATATAAGCATTTGATATGGTACATAGGAAAAATAGTCTTTTTGCAAATCTGACATTTGTTCTAGTTATATCGACCCTCCCTCACCTCCCATTAAGTTTGTTCAAAAATGTCCTGTTGGAATCTTAGCTATATGAAATACTCAGGCTAATAAGTGATTAATGAGTTTGTTTAATGATTTACCTGTTAGGATAACAGTCTTTTCCAATGTATTCTATAGCCTGTCGGAATACAGTCAGAGAAAAAAAAAATGTATGATGCTAGAAAACTGCGTAGATTGCTCGATTGGCAAAAGAAAACACCCAGATGTATTTTGATAATTAGTCTCCAAAATAAAAGACAAAAAAAATGAACAACAATAGTAAGTACTATCAATGAATATTATAATTTTAATATAACAGTCTGAGTGGTTTTTTGTACATTTTCATACAGAGAATTTGTGAAATAAAAATAATAGCTAATGTTAGTTTTGCCCATTTCACTGACACTAATTTTATAGATACAGTATTTCACCAACAATCAATTCACTGACATGTTCATTTCACTGATACTTAATTTGCCAACAAGCTTAATTCACTGATACTTACAGCTATTTTCATAAATTCCGAGACAACTAAAAATTTTCTTATTTCCTGAAACCTTTCGATCCTGTTCTAAGAATCACTTAACTTTTCTGAAACTACTTCACTAACCTTGGGACTTCACTACAGGGCAGCGAAGTAGTTTCTGAAAAGTTAAGTGCTTCTTAAAACAGGATCGAAAAGGTCTCAGGAAACAAAAAAATTTTTAGATGTTCCAAGAATTTATGAAAACAGCTATAATTCACTGACAAGCTTAATTCACTGAAAGCTCAATTCACTGACAAACTCAATTTACCAACACTTAATTTACCGACCTCAATTCACCAACACTCAATTCACTGATATTTAATTCACAGACCAACAATCAATTTACTCAATTCAATTTATAGACACTCAATTTACTGACAATCAATTCACTGACAATCAATTCACTGATACTCAATTCACTAACAATCAATTTACTGACAAAGCAATTGTACCAGAATTATTTTTAAGGTTAGTGAATTAAGCTTGTCAGTAAATTGAATATCTGTGAATTGAGTGTTAGTAAACTAATTGTGAGTGAATTGAGTTTAGTGAATTAAGTGTGGGTAAATAAATATGTCAGTGAATTGTTTGTTGGTGAAATGCTATATCTACAAATGAATGTCAGTAAAATGAGGTGGACCCACTACATAAGTAGGCACTATGGCAATAGTATTGCAATGGCAATTCATTTGGTGATTAGGCACCATGGTTGTGATAGCAATGCAAGGACATATTGTTTGGTATTCAAACTTCACAGCTGCAAGAACTTCTTGTTTTGTGAATATGCTCTAGTATAGGAAACCTTCTGATGATTAAACGATAGTTATGCAAAATCCAGGCATAGTACAGGTGTCATGGTGATTACTATGCAAGGATTTTTTTGTTTAGTAATTAGGGTTGGTGACTGTGATAGCAGTGCAAGTATCTCAGGTTTGATGATAAGGCACCATTGTGATAGCAGTAAAAGGACCTTTTATTTGGTGATTAGGCTTTATTATTACAATAACAATTCAAAGACCACATCATATAATTAGGATCTGTAACGATACAATACAAATAAGTCGCAATTATATGCTACATAATGCTATATAACAATTGTTATTTCAGCTAAAATTTCATAGATATATTTTCCTGTGCGAAGATATAATGGCTAAATTTCAGTATTAAGCTATGATATATTACTCAGTAATCATGAGTATGCAAGTTGTAAGTGTGAATAGTTAATTAATTTAGATATGTATTTTTTAAATATCCCAATATTTATAATATAAAGCCTTTAATTAATAGCAAATTTCTGTGTATTTTTCAACTATGTTAATAAAGTCATCTGACCGTACGATAAAGTCATCTGATCGAGCAATAAGAAGCGCTATAATTAAAGCATTTTAAATAACAGACTACTTTTTTTTATTTTTATTTACCTAATTTAGTAGAAGAGCTTAAACCAGTGAGACAAACAAAAATTAGATCTGTTGATAACTAATGAAATGGTAGGTTGCTTGAACATGAATTTTGAAATTTGTTACAGGTGATCGTACTGGTCCTTGCGCGGCGTCACGCGCCGCGCAGCTACCCTAATTTTATATTATATATAGACGTATATATATATTAAATATACATTTAAATAAATATATATATCGATATATATATATATATTATTAATGCAATGCTCGGATATAATACTGCATTCAATTGTTTCTTGAACCAATAAAATTTGAATAAAAATATGAATCAAAAACGACACTTATTGAATGGCAGATATTTACTATGTGTCGTTTTAGCCCTGCCCGTGACCGATTCGGGACAAAATGCTGCTCCGATACTTACGTATCGGGTAGCTAAAAAACTGCGATTTGCCCATCACTAGTTAGAATGCACGTAGAATTTTGCGATGACCAACATTTTATCCTTACAAGCCAAGTTATGAAGCCACATTTTCTTTAAAAAAAAATGGCTTCGTAACTTTGTTAGTAGAGTTTTTTCTTAATATATTAAACACATCTATTTAAACTTTATGAAAAATTAAGACAGTTATAATTAAAAATTATAATAAATTTTTATATAATGCCACATATAGTTTTGATTTACATAGTATGTATATCGCATACCTCACATCAAACACCCAAAATCAAATATAAATCGACTTTATTTTTTCAACTTAAACCTTATATAAATACAGATACTCAAAGAATACATAATGATATTAAAATTAAAATTATTACTATAATGGTAAAATGATAATGTAAAGATCTATTTAGCAACAACTATTACGAGCTATATAAGTAATTATAAAGGAGAAATATATATACCTAATAAATCATATACAGTCCGATCACTATAGGAACTGAGCTCCTAACAACAAGAATCTAGAGAACAGTATATTTATAGAAAATCAAATATACATTTTATCTAGAACTTGAGTGTGAATTTAAAGAGATATTGAATTTAAAAGGGTAAGTTTAGATAGGTCTCTGTGCATATTCTGTGACAGGTCTCTGTGCATATTCTGAGTAAGGTCTATCTGAATATTCTGTATATAATGCACCAGGAGTTGCAATAAATTCATCACTATCGCGTTTACAAAGTTTATTATAAATGAAGAATCCTGCAAATACTATGAGAACAAATCCAACCACTGCACCTACGCCAATACCAATCTTTGCACCTAATGAGAGTGAATCGCCTTGATCATCTGAACTCGAACCTTTATTATTATCCGGTTTTATTGAACTAGTTCCATTTATATTTGATGTATCAAAAGTTTTAACCCACGTAAGATTTTTTGTATTAAAGAGATATACATTATTATTTAATACTAATTTTGCTCCTGACGGCTGTGGTGTTGGAGAAACAATTGAACCTAAATACAAAACAAAATTAAATCATTAAACTAGAAACCTTTTTAGAAATTAGTACCCAAAATGGATTAATCTAAAATATAGTAAACCATTTGTGAATTGTATAGTTCACTAAAGTTTTTTATATTTGATTAAGTCAGAGCACTAAATATGTCATTTAAAATTTAGGTTAAAATAATATTATTACCAAATGTTACAACCATGTAAACTCCATATAATACTGCTGTATGATACATAAGTCCTTGTGGTGCTTTTTCTGTAATTGCGGTCCACGTATACGGTAACGACTTTATATTTAATAGTGCAGTATCAGGTGTCGGTTGAGCTCCAGTGCTTGTCTGCCCACCATAAATAAGAATTTGACCATCTTGAGCTATTTAGAAATTAATAATAAATTTATAATAACTAAGAAATAATTGTAAATAATAATTAATTATTATTAAAACACGTACTTAATATAGCTGAGTGTCCACTACGAGATCCAATTGAATCACCACGAGTCGTCTAAAA